TGTTGTAGTTAATTTTGTTATCTCAGATAATGTTTGGTTTTCTTTTGTTTTGTGGTATGATAATGTATGCTAATGAAGTTCAAACAAAAGAAAAATAAAAATTACCTGACATAAAAAATTAACTTCAACACATATCTACTGGATATGTAATACATGTGTCTATTTTATGGCTGAATATGTGAGCAAGCAAGACAATCAAAACAAATCCTGGGCAAGCCACTCCACATTTCCAATGTCAGGGGTATAGCGTCCATATATGCACATATGCCACTGCATACATGCACAGCTGACATGGAAAAAATATATTTTTTATTTTCTGAAAAAGCAAATTTGGTCTTTAAATCAGAATGGCTGATAGATTTTTTGAACAATATTGGTGTCTTTGTGTTAGTATCTCCTTATGGGTATCTCGTGGTTGGCACAAATGAAGGAGCTCTCGAATGGAGCTCCTGTTCTAGACCAATTTTCTTTGATATTTGTGTATTATATTTTTGCTGCTATTTTATCTCATAGTGTCACCACTGTGTAAAGAATATCATTTTATAGCCAGGTGCTAGCACAAAAATGTATGTTCATTTGGCTCCTAGACTTTTTTGTTCTCATAATGCATAATTTTATGTAACAATTTCTTGTTTTCTTTTCATTAGCCATCAAAACATGTAAAAGTCTCTAAAGGTTGTTGTTGTTGTTGCTCGCTTACCAACAGCTGTTTAAGACAATAAGCCCGCAATCATCCTCCCAGAAGAAGGAAGGATCAAAGACTGGATAAGGGAGACGGCAGAAGTTGAGCCTATATTTTTCTTTATCCTTTCACTGTACCTTCCCAACAACACTAGAGATGGGTAAAATAAACAACTAACTACATCTGTTCTGCATTTTCCTTCAAATTAATTTGCTGAAAATGTGCTGTGGAAAATGCTGAAAATCAGAGACCCTAAATTTAAGAATAATTCCCCCCCCCCCTGCCACCTTAGGTTGGGCCGCCTTGGGTGCTACAAATTTTCTTCCCCATGTGTGTGTGTTGTTGTTCAGTTTTAGCCTTGGTTTAAATTTTATTTCCTTTTGTTTTAAACTCATTATCATATATTACCATACCCAAACACAAAGGGAAATAAAATTTGAACCACGCTGAAAGAACAAAATTGACAACATAATACATGACACCCTCAAAATCTCACACTATGCCCCTGAATGTTGATCCCACAACAAAAAGTTTCTTTTTGCCCATATAGTGAATCCGGCATATTTGGTCAAGATGACTGGAAATTGGCTTCTTTTTTGTATTGTTGACTTTGACTGCATCTCAGCCAATAAAAACTTGACCATCTCGGCTTCATGCTTGGTCTTCTTCCACACAAGGGGTCAAAAGCGTAGATTGCCGCAATACAGTTTGTCATGATTGTTATGCTTGGACGCATATCCATCAATCATTCAGCGATAAAAATTAACCAAAGTTTCTCACCGAGCAAACCCCGACCCGACTCCATGAAAAGTAACCACAAACAGCAGTCAGAAGTACCTACCCAGTCTAGGCTCGATCAGCCGCTGTTTGGGAAATGGGCCTGCGCTCCTCCCCCGAGAGCGGCGGAAATCAAACCTATCAACAATCTCACACAAATACAAACAAAAAAAACACACACAATAGCGCTTTCCAGTATAACTAAAAATAGGTTATTTGTCACCTTAGAACCCCGGCGTGACTGAGACAAACTTCGCATTCTACTCCAAAGTTTTGTATAGGAAACATGCATTTCCGACATGAAAATTGTTCATAAAATTCGCAGTGAGCATTTTTAAAATCTTTTTTGAGCTTAATAATTAAGCTCAAAAAGCATTTTATTCCAATATATAACAGGTACTACTGCTATAGGAAGCAAAACCTGGTCCAGAAACTCAAATAAATGGTTAAAATCAGAAAAAATAAACCGACTCGATCAAAGAAGGCTACTGAAATCGGATCCCTAGCTCTGTGTCTTAGGCAGAAAACACCGCTATGCACTGAAACATGACTTAACATTATTGGCAGTGTAATAATCCAAAACCGAAATTGCTAAAGAGAAAATCGAGTTTGGATGTTGCTTCTCGCAAGACTGTGACAGAATATCGAAGGTGAAAAGCACACCAACATTAGCACAAACCGGAAATTGTATAAGTTTGTTCTGTTGTTGTGCAGCCAGGTAGACCATATGAATCCAGGACAAATACTTTAGTACTTTATATCCTGTAATACTAAGTAGCATCACATAAGCACTCGAGAAAAAATTGAGTAACCTTTGCCTATCAATTTAACCAAATGCACCATTTCATGCACAGCTATGAAGCCCCGCTCTCCACGCATTTTAACATAATTTTACCCACAGTATTATGTCGCCTCATAAGAAATAAAACCACTCATCTGTACAGTTTTTTCCATGTTTAACGCTGTCTTGGCACGCGTTGATTATTTTCAGGATATTTACTATTGAAACCAAGCTGGATTTTGTTTCCTTTAACGATAAACATCTTCAAAGACGATGAAAATATGCTGCCAAACATGACTTAACCATACTAAACTCTTATACTGGTCTTTAGGGCCTGTTTACATGGAGTGGGGGACCCCGGTCTAGTGGGGTTGGTTTCTTTTGTTTTCACGCTCTGGAGGACACAAAACAAAAGAAACCTACCCCACTAGACCGGGGTCCCCCACTCCATGTAAACAGGGTCTTAATGTCTGAGTCACAGCAGGGACCAGAAATTTGTGACGTCATTGGTGGAAAGTGCTATTTCGTTGCATTTTTTGACAATATGGCTCTTGCACTGACTTAATGGAGTCTGCTATCAACTTTGGATCTAAAAAATGTACAACGCTTATCTGACTGCAGCCGAAACACATCGAACACAAGCTTGAAATGGACTCTTGCATTGGTCACTGAGACTTCGCTGGCGTGGACCTCTCGGTTTTATGACGAAGCGCCAATGAATTAAAACTTTGAAAGACGTTTGTCGTTATAACAAGGGTATGCCATGTATTGGTCCGAAACCGTGCATCTAATATATGGTTTCGTTTTTGAAATTAGAAACTTTACAAAAGGTGTCCTCGATCGAGGCTGATATTGTTTCTAGTGCCAAGTAGGCTTTGTATCTGCAGCAAACAATCGGAATAAAGCATCAATACTCACTTACGCTTCATACAACACAAACTCAGTTGACTCAAAAAAGGTAAAATGATGAAAATAGTATTCACTTGAAAACCCTCCGATCACTGCCCTGAAGACTAATGCTGACAAACTGCAACTGCACAGACTGCACAGCTACTGCAAATGGGTCTGCAAATGTGACGTCATTCCGATTCAACTGCGATCTCACGTGATCTGCCGGAAGACAAGCAGTCCTGACCTCCCATTTGGGCTCTCAAATTACTCCGAGAAATTGCATCGTGAGCTTTTCGCAAAAGATATACAGTTTTCCCTCAAGATAGAGGATCCGTTTTCACTTTATCGCAGCTACTTTCATTTTTGATATCCTCAAATGTCGATATTTGGTCATTTTTCACGGATTTGGTTTGTTTGCGGTCTTATTGAAGGTAGGTTAATACCCGGAATTCATCAATCGGATGTTAGAAACTTTAACTTTACTATCATGCAGAACAACCACAGTGTAAAGTGGTAAGAAACAGAAGAGTACGTATTTATTTAATATTGTTTGAAAACGAAGTTTTGTTCCTAGTTTTATATAAAATGCTGGATATGAGTCATTACACTTCTGGTTGGAGAGACACCGAGGACCTTACGTATTCCTTTTGTCATTTAATCATTTAACTTGTCGATTTACTACCTTTAGAAAGAGTAGCTGTCGCAGAGCAGCTCATCAAAACTTTTTAGCATTGAGTACGAGCATTTCAATACTATAACGTTCCAACTGATACAGATAGCTCTAGACCTAGAAGGTAACAGATTTTCAATTATCAGGTTTTTAAACCGGCAGAGACATGGGATTTGCTTGCGTGACAATAGGGAACTTAAGAACCACGACGACGACTTTGTCGACGACGACCGGAAGTGAGATACCGTGCACTGCGCAAGCGCGGTTAACAAATTTCGTCGTCGTGGTGTCGTCGACGACGCCAAACACAGTAGAGTCACGTCGTCCTGCAGTCAACAAGGTTCGGCAGGTATAACTCCCTGTTTTTAAGCGATTTTTCAAGGGCTTTGTATTTTTTCACCTCGTAAATCCAGGTATCTTTTCTTTTTTTCTGCTAACAAGCGATGTTGATTGAAAATTTGACGGATGAATTGTTTTTACTTCGAAGACAACACTGAGCTGTGCAGGCGCTAGGCCGATCGAGCGAACTCGTAAGTGACAAATTTATTTGCACGTATTTAGGTCAGGCAAATCATATATCTTTAATAAAGAGGAAATGAACTTTATATGGAAAACAGCTATCGCATCGGAATGTCTCTTTTTCCAAATCTAAACTCTGACAGACACTCGGACTCGGTCATGTCATTCAGGTTGAAAGTTGAATAACCTTCGTACGGAAAGCAGAGATTTTTCCATTCGAAAAGGTCAGACAACACTAAAAATTCTTCATCGTCAAAGAAAGTAGACGTACGGCTTATAAAATAAGATCTAGCATCGTCTTAAAAGACGCCTTTGCGAAAAAACTTTGTTGCGAACGAACATCACAGTTGTACTACTTCTACATGTTTGTTTACATTCAGTGTCGTCGTCGTCGACCTATCGATCGACTGCATCTTAAGTTTCCTTTTTCCCGCCGAAACTGACGTTCTCGTTCCACTCCTTTCCCAGTCAACAGACGTCGTCGTCGTGAACTTCGTCGTGGTTCTTAAGTTCCCTAATAAATGCCTAAGGCCTCGTCCAGACGCACCGTATTTCCTCGAATGATAGTCCTTCCTCGATTAATCGCCCCCTCTGATGGAATTATTTAAAACAATCGCCTCCCTTGAATAATCGCCCTCTTCCCATCTCCTCTTGCTTTCTTCTCGTCCTTTTATCCACTTCCTGTCAAGCTGAAGTGCAATGTGATCCAATATAACTGATCAGTGACGATTCAAAGTATGAAAATTAATCAAGGAACTAAATTTGGAACACTTAAGAAGCCCATGTTCAGTTTATTTGATGTGATTATTTTTTTATTTAATGTAAACACAAAAAATATATTTAGGGCACGACTTCCATTGAGCAACATTTGAAATAATCACCTCCCCCGAATAATCGCCCCCTTTTTGAGCAAAAAAGAAATAATCGCCCCCGGCTGTATTATTCGAGAAAATACGGTATCCGGATATTTTCAGTGAATTGCAATGTTGTCTTTGCGGATCCAAGCCAGTATATTTACGTTCGGCCCACAAGTAACGTATTCAAATCGAATTTGCTCGTACACAAATTAACCTACTGAGCACCAGTTCGTCCTGGTCGGACCCAGATCCTCTCTTCCCGCTCGTTAAAATTTGTCTGCCGTCTGTCATGGAAAGCAGCTAGGTTTACATCCACCTACGTCATAAGACTTAAAATATGCCCAAGAAGAAAAGAAGCGATAAAATTACGCTCAGCAAAATATCCACGGTATATTCAAGATTGGTTTCGCTTTCCTTCCGTCATTGGATTCGTCCACACGATTCCGTATTCATAGCGTATTCAGCAGAAATTTACACTATGGCCGAGAGTGGATTCCAAAACTGGCGGATTCATATGCCGGATTCACTAGATACGTGTGGATGGAAGCCGAATCCGCAAAGAATAAGGTGCGGACTCAAGTTCGGGGGATTATCAAAGTTATTGAGCTACTGAAAAAATTTTTATTTTCCACTTTTTTATTCATTTATTTTTTTTTTTTTTCATAATTCTGCTGATTTGCGCATTTGAACATTTCATGGAATTTGCGCATTATAAATGTTTTATTATTATGACTTTGTTTCTTGCAGTGGTTGTTTGCAAAGTTGTAATTGTATCTCGCCTGCATGGAAGCGACTTTCCTTCTTGTGGTAAAGGCAATAATTTAAAAACAGCCTGCAGAACAATTGCTTTCGCCACCACACAGGCGCAGTGGAACGACACCATTCGCATCGATGGCACCGACACATCACGTGATCCATACCCTTGCTCCTCGATGTTGTCAAACCAGAATGGAATATTCGCCGACAAAAGCTTATCTTTTAAAAAATTTGGAAACGCAGAGGTATATCTTAAGTGCAGTGCAAAGCAAATTATGTTTGATGGCCGAAATGCATCGGGAACGGTTAGTATTCGGTTCATGGGGCTTACACTCATTAACAGTCGGATCGTTGTCCAGGAATGTTCACTGTTTGTCGAAAGTTGCGTATTCAGAGATGCTATTTCTTTTCCAAACGCGACGGCCGTCATTAACTTTCAGTCTTCTGAAGGACAATTTATCCTGGCGATAAAGAGTTCCTTCTTCAAGAACAACAGCTTTCCGTGTGTTCGTGTGGCCGGGAACAGACCCAAGGTCGAAGTTGAAGGCACAGCATTTTTCAACAATACTGCTACTTGGGCAAGTCTCACAGGAGCTCCTGTTGCTGTTTTTATAGTTCTATTATCAGCCAAACAGACTACTTTATCTTCCTTTTCATCTGTGAATTTAACCAACACGTTATTCGTAGGAAACGTTTCTCCTGAAGGAAGCCTTTTGATCAAAACCAGTTCAGCAAGTTTTGCGAACAGGAAGTCGAGAGGAATATACAAAACTAACAAAAATACTGAAAACGCGACCGCCTCTCCGATGATTTACTGCTCTACAAAGCATTGCAGCAGGCACGAATCAAGAGCACGTGTTTCTGTGGAAATTGGTAGCGGAACGTTTTCGCATAATGTCGGAGGAGCAATTACTAAGAGTGGTACCGGTGTCGTGAACATGTCCATCAGTAGCTCTGTTTTCCTTAATAACAGCTCCCCATTAGTGGGCGGGGCCTTAGTTTTTGAAGATGCCCAAGAATTATCTTTGAATATTGTAGATAGTAAGTTCATTGGCAACAGCGCCAAGAACGGGGGCTCTGCACTGTATGCCTTAGGTTTTTCGTCAACAATGGTGTCGATTCTTGTTAGAAATGTCTCATTTGTGAAGAACGTTTTACATGCACCTAAGTTTGCCGGGGACTTTCCTAATGGCGGAGCTTTTACACTTGACCTTGAAGGAGGCCATTTGAAAGTCCTACTGGAAAAAGTTTCCTTTTTATTGAACAAAGCTGCAATGGGGGCCTCAACATTGCAAATTGGAGGGTATATCCTGAACATCATTATCAAAGATTGCAATTTCCTTTGGAACTTTCACGATGAGCGGTTTTCATACAACTGGAAGATAGCAGTCATTGAGGCCTACCGACTCAACTTTACAATGATTAGAACGGCCGTTTCTGGGAATTATGCAAGGCCTCGTTCAGATAACACCACATTGGCAGGACAGCCGATACATTTCCTTGTGGCTGGTTTTTATACGGCTCATCTGAACATCTGTAACTTACAGTACAGGAACAACAAAGGCGGAGGAATATTTATTCTACTAGGGATGAATGAACATAATGAAAATTCAACACTTTTGATGCAAGACTCGCACTTCGAAAACAATGAATTGTTTTCTTTGGAGATTAAAGTGAAGTCAAGTTCTTTGCTGCAGATCGACCGCCTCAGATTTGAAGCAAATTCTTTTATAACCTCTGTTTTTGAATGTCTGGCTTTATTTTTCCTCTTCGGTTCTCCTGGCGGAAAAGGTAATCAGATACTGGTGCAAAACTCTACCTTTGAGAACAATGTGCATATCTTGGGTAGGATTGCATTGATACGTCTGCCATCCGATCAAATAGATCCTTCTGCTTGTCACATGCCCAACTGGATTTACAAAAATTACGTGACATTTACGGGAGTTCTCTTCCGAAACAACAGCCGCGAATTTTCCATTACTTTGCGGTTACAAAACGGTTGGTATGTTCTAAAAAACTGCCAATTTGATGAAAATTATGGACAATTCTTAGGCTCAAACATTTTTATCGGTGAGGGATCTGCTCATCTAGAGCTCATCAACTCATCGTTTGAGTTAGCGCAGATGGAAAAAGTTTCGCCTAATTTTAGAGGATTCATATACTTTGCAAGCTCCGGATCCATAAAACTTGTAAACACGCGTCTTTCTGTACAGGCCTTTCAAGACATTGACTCTTACTTAATGATCACAAAGTCAAGCTTTTTACGTATTGACAATTCAACGATCATTCAATGCCCTCTTGGGACGGTAAAAAAATTATCAAATTTCTCCCATCATCAATTTATTACAAACCAGGGCTGTCCATATGGGATTTTCATCGCTAGTTCGCAGTCTTTCACTTATTCTTGTAAACGGTGCGCACCAGGATTTTTCAGCGTTGAACCATTTGCAGAAAAATGTCGACCCTGCCCATACGGTGGCAACTGCACAGAGAATATCGCTGCTAAACCCTCTTTCTGGGGATTTCCCCTACACTCGGACCATGGATCGGTTAACTTTCAGCAATGTCCAGCTGACTACTGCTGTCCTCATCACAATGTTAGCTGTCCATACGACAATCTACGTTATCTGTCAACGGGATGTTCTGGAAACCGTATTGGTGTTCTCTGTGGATCGTGTAAACCTGGTTTCACAGAAACTCTCTTCTCTGCACAATGCCGAAAAAGTGTCGACTGCACGGATTACTGGTTCTGGTTCGTTGCTTTGTTTTACAGCTTATCATTTGCCTTCTTTCTTCTGTGGAAGACTCCCGTCGTAAATGTGGTAAAGAGGCTGTTTCCGTGGGGAAAGCCAAGCCTTGCCGGCCACCACTCTGCAAACAACTCAGAATTGGTGGACGGTGGAGGCTACCTCAAAGTCATTTTCTATTTCTATCAGGTCGCCAGTTTAGTTTTAGAGTCCAAGAACACTGAGGTGTATTTATTAGAAAACTACCTGTTACGGTCCGTAATCGGTTGGTTCGACTTCAAAGCAATTAGCTCAAAGGACGGTTTTATTTGCCCATGTCCAGGACTTACAGTGGTTTCAAAGATGTTCTTGCAGGCTTCCCAAGTTTTTGCCGTGCTATTTTGTATCCTATCTATTTTCCTTACCCACGGAGCTCTAAGAAACTTTCACAAAAAATCCCCGGTCTTTCCTCCCACAGGACAGTACATGGCAGCCGCAACAGACTGCTTCTTGCTAGGATACTCAACACTGACAAGAACAACTCTAAAGGCGTTGAACTGCGTCCCGTTGCAATCAACTTCGCGTTTCTTCTGTGATGGAAATATCCATTGCTGGCAGTGGTGGCAAAAGCTATGCGGCGTTTATATTATCGTTGTTGTAATACCCTTTATCTTTGTTCTGTATCGCGGGTCCAAACTGCTTCACGGTAATGGGATATCGGCAAAGCAGTTTTTGTTCGCATGCCTGTTTCCTTTGCCGTTTGCCTTTCATTGGATGATTTCCTGCAAGAAGGTTTCTCTTAGCCAGGCAGAATCTCTTCAACAGGTTAACGGAGAAGACCGTCCTTTGATTCCTGCAGATCGCAGGACAAGAGATTCCTCCTCCCGTAATCAAATAGCAGAGGTCGTTTACGGACCTTTCAAGCAATGTATTGACAACAAGGGTTCTTGTACTGTTTACTGGGAGAGTGTTCTCATTGGTCGACGTCTGATACTAATTTCTCTGAACACTTTTATAGTCCCTCCTTTCATTCGAATGGTTTGCTTAACTTTTGCGTGTGCTTTCATCCTTGCACATCACTTATGGAAGAGCCCGTTTAAAGACTCTCGAGTCAATTACGCAGAGACAGTCTCCTTGACCGCCCTGCTTGTTCTCGTAGGTATCAATATGGCATTAGGTACGTTTGCTACTAGTGGAGAGATCCTGTCAGACCAGGAACGCATCTGTTTAACGGTTTTGCAGGTAGTTCAAGTTATCATTCTTGGAATAATCCCTGTGCTGTTTATTCTTCTCATAGTGGTTTCTCTCTTGTGGCAGTTGCTAAAGATTTGCAAACTATGCTGGATTTTGTTCTGCCGATTATTTGTTGAGTAATCGTACCAATCTCTGGCGATCAAGAAAATATATTCCCTTGGATTTTTGTTCGGTGAAGACTCAAGAGCGACGTTAGCTGGACTGATAGTTGAGTGGCCTGGATGACTTCCAGACACTAGACACTATATGCCCCGAATTATCGTTACCCATAGTGACTCACTCATTAGACACCCACCTTCGTCAACGCGCCGAAAAAAGTCGGAACACTCCATCTTCATGTAATTGTTGTGTAGCAAGGGCGGGGGAAGGGGGGGGGGAAGATTAGCCTAAGAAAACAGCCGACATTTCCCGACGCCACCACTGGTTTCCACGAAAAATGACGTCTGAGGAACGACCGAAGAAATTCCATACTGATGGCGCTCTCTACCCAAATCTGGTTAGAGGGGAGGTACATCAGGGAGGAGGGAGAAGAAATGGCCCGAAAAATTAGAGAGGAGGGAGAAATAGGGGCGAAAATGTAGAGAGGAGGGAGAAAATGAAAGGACTTTTCTTCATTATTAAAAAGTAAGGAACGATGAAAGCAGCAAGCGCTACGCTTCCGAATAACTGACAATGATCAGTAATTTCAGTTTCCATGACATACTGAAAAAAAAAAAGGGATTTACAAATGTTACACTTTATTGACAAACAGACTAAATGTACCCTTTAAATACATACAATGGTGCTTAAATAGTCCGTACACGTATTGCATCAGTTGATCAAGCAAAAAATAAGGTCTTTGTCAGTGCAGTTAGAAAATACAGTTCATCTTATAAGTAGACAAATCAGCTTTCACACCTTTTCAGCGTTCGTACTACTGAGAAAGAATAAAACTCCAGAAATTTCCATTGGATGATACAAAAATATAAAAGTATATACATTACTTTCGTAAGGGAAGAAAAATAAAACGGCCTCTAATTGTTCGATGCATTCATGCTGTAATCATTCAGTGCGAGAGTTTTCCAGGAATGTGCATCAAAATATAGATTTTTCACGTAAGTACTTCAGACTCCTAAGAGGCTCATTCTTGTAAGTGGAGTAGTATTTCAGGATGTAGTACGAACCCTGATTTTTGTAGCTATTCCGAAACAATACAAAAAGGCCAAGGTTTTAGAAAAATACATGACCAATTTTTTGCACCTCTTATTTCTGAAAATATATTTTTAAAAAAATATCCTAATTTGTCCGTCCCTACAAAAGTCAGAGTAAGAATCAGCCACGCTCTTTGAGCAAGACAAAAAAATAATCACAATTTCGGAACAAGCACCGTTTCTAGGTAGGCTACCTCTAATCATCTACAGATATCGCCGCTGAAATTCAAGAAAAAAAAAAAGAAATTCACCCTGTCCCTACGCCAATTTTCTACACCGAGCAAATAGCACTAAAACTGCTCAAAAAATGAGAACGTCGTAGAAAGAGCGACACTAGATCACGTCTCGAAACCTACTCGGTCAATACAAGTTATCGCTACAGTTATTGGAGAAAAGTATTTCTCGACGAGTTTTTGCTCTATTTGTTCCTATAAGTTAACGCTCTAACAAGCCTTTTTTCTACCAACAGTTATCTACGTACGTCAGGAAAAGCATTCGTGTAAGTGAAACTAGTGTCATCACATCTGAGACTTAATATATACAACGCAGCATACGTACATCGCGTTACATAGACATCACCCTATGTTACAATATTCGATTCATCTCGCTTAGCTGAACCTTCTATGCTTTCCCCATTAGGGTGCCATTAAATATCTTATTACATAGTATATTTCACTACAATTACAGACTTTAAAGTTCTAGCCCACGGGTGTCAACTAAGTACACACTTCTAGAAATATGTGGCTGAGGCTTATACAAATGTTTTTCTCATCGGCCTCCGTCAGGTTAACCCACAGTGACAACGTTAACTCCTGTTAACGCTAATCGACCCTCTAAGAACTGGAGCCTAGACCAGGTTATAAAAAAGCTTCGTTTTTGAAGTGCAAAGAAAATTGAATTGAAAAATTTCATCGACACACAGTTCTTCTAAATAGGTTTCATCCTCCAACATTGCAGACAAAATCGTGATCACAGTACCGGGCTAATTTGGGAATTGATTAATGACTAACTAAATGTAGATCACTAAGAAGGTCACCCAGCAAAACGTATGGGAGTAATATTATGAAAGGAACTGTTCGATATGAAAGCATACATGTACAATGCGCAATGTTCAGTATAGCTTGCCGATATGATTTCACTCGCTGCATACCACATTTAAGGAGCAAGCAAAGGACAATATTGAGAGAATGTGTGCAATACCATGAATTGTTATTAAGCAAGGTCAATTTGCTACATTTTTTTGTTCTACAAAATTAATATCCATACTCCCCCATAATGGGTTTAATCGTTCAATCCCCCCTACCCCTCTGGAAATTCCACTTTAGGTTCAAACTTTTTTAATTTTGGCCCTAAACGCCAAATTCCAATAGGGAGCTTTAGCAACGACGACGGCAACGACAAGGAGAACGTCAAAAAAGCAACAGGTTTGATAAGCAAAACAACAATTTTGCACATGTAGCACACTTCGAAGGTTGACCTTGTTCGAACACGACGTGAAATTTCCTCAAACACACGACGACGAATTTTTCTTTCAGTCTCTTTCTAAAATTGAGTGCGGTCCCCAACAGTTCACCTCTAGGGAAATGTTTGACTTTTTAGGCGAGTTGGAGTAAACACAACTAAGTTTGAAAAAACGCAAATTTATTTTTGAATTGACGTTGTGGCTGTCGTCACCCCCGTCGATGCCCAAGCTCCCTAATGACCATCATGGGAAAGGAGTAAAGTCACACAGTTTAATATGTTAACTTTTGTTAGCAACAGCATGTAAATAAAAGTACATCTGTAAGATTAAATGAGTACCAAAAATACATTTCAGCAAGAGGCTGGTTAAAAAGCCCCTATGGTTTTGAACCAAACTATACAATTTTACGAGGTAATGCACACTGTATAATTCTTAAGTAGTGTAAATTTCGAAAATATGTATACTATTCTTACTACTTGATTGGGTATAAAAATAGAGTCAAAACTATCATTGAATTCCAAGATATCCTAAAATAATGATTATACTGTGGTAGACTGACAATGAAATATATCCTAAAGATAGCTAACGAGTACACGTGTACCAACGTATTGATCGTTTTAACCGTTAAAAAATTCACATACTATTTTCTTTAGAAAAATGTCCAATTTACATCCCTAGCACACAAAATTTTGCATGAATTAAAAATACCACAGCCATTTCCAAGAAACACATTGACAATCTGTCTTTGAAGTAATAGACCATTTCACAGTTGCCGGCTTAAAAAGTGAGGCTGAGGTTGACCTTGTTTTGATACAAACCTTCCTCTTTTTCTTATTATGGAAATTATGCTTTAAAAATACTAGATAGCATGAGAACAACATGATTTACATAATAAAGCAGGAAGGGTTGTATAGGGTTGTATCAAAACATGGTCAACTCCAGCCTTGTTTCCACCTGTAACTGTAATATGGGATATTGACCACTCAGTGACTTCAGTGAGATGACGATAATGATGATGACTTTAGGAGTCCATAGTGAAACCGTTCTATGCAGAGGTGCTTAGTTTTGCAGTGGGCATTCGTGCCGCGGGTGGTGGAGCTGGGGCAGGCCTGAAGAATAACAATTGAAAGAAATTTCAGTGAGATACACACTGTATGGGACTTCAAATACTCTTAGAGACCAGATTTCTTCTTATGCAATAATGAAAAACAAAACAGACTGTGCTCAGGGCTTTAAAAAAACTTGATTCCTTGCTTGTCCTTTGGGCAAGCAACTCTCACCATTTTGTTTGACCAGGGCTACTTCTTACTAGTCTTAGTTAATTATTAAGTTAGAAGATGACTTGCTTTCTCCCTTGCATGTTACAGATTAGAACGTACTCTGAAGGGGAGTGCAAATACTACTATGGTGTTACTTTTTAAACAGAAAAAGAAGTCTAACAAATGCATTCTTAAGTGAACCAAAAAGGTTCAGGAATTTCATACCAAGAATGAAGGGAGCAAACAAATTTTGGAGGGGGGAGGGGTGATTTTTTTTTTCTGAAGGAAACTACTAACTGCAAGATCTGAAAATTCTACTTAGGGATCAAAGAAAAAAAATTTCTGGAATTTACAAGGTTTTCCTCCTTCCCAAAAATCGGGGAAAAGATGGAATTTTCTGAATGAACTGAGAGTCCATTAGTTATTAAGTGACAGGGGCCACAAGTGGACTCAATTATAACATTGTGTATGATCATCAAAAAACGTACAGTTATCACACAGCATTACCAGTTTGCTGGTAGAAAGACTGTTGGTCTGCCAATGAACCCTTGAGGCGCATACGGAATCCACTGATCAGGGTATGGAGGCTGGACTTGGGCATAACTAGCCGGAGGGAATTGCCCAGTCATGTCGGCAGGGAGCTGACCCTTTGTGAGTGTGCTCACAGGTGGCAGTACATAACCAGGCGCTGGATTGGCCGCAGGAGGGGAAGTGGCTTGGACATCTCCACCTATGTGTAAAAGAGGACACTTACACCATCAGTTGAATTCCACATTTACTAATCTTATGACATCACGTACCAGGGTGCAAAAGAAAGTCATTTTAACAGCTTGCCATTCAGGCAAGTTGAAGCTAACATTTACTAGCCCAAATATCATTTCAACTAGCCCAAAAAACGTTTTGATGAGCAGATTGATTTCACAGTTCTACTGTAATTTGAATTCCTCAAAAAAAATTCACTTGCCCATTGGGCAAGTTAATAACAGAGTTCACTAGCCCAATAGCAAAATCCACTAGCCCCGGGCTATCGGACACTACTTTCTTTGCACAATGGTGTAAAAGAAGACACTTACACTGTCAGTTGAATTTGGCATTTACTAATCTTATGACATCATGGAAAAGAACTCATCATACATGTATCTTTTCAATGGAATGGTCACAGAATCAAAATTCTCC